ATTGGTATCTAAGTCTTCCGCTGTGCTATTTTATACTTTGTATTGAAAGGTCGGTTCTTGTTCTGGTCTGCACCTATACGGTATGCAACACTCTCCCTCTATGGCGAGGCGACCAAGTTCAACCAACGAAACTGACCCGGGACGCTTTGATCCCAAGCCCGCATGCACAGGCATGCGCGCAATATATATATATCGTCACAAACAGAACTGCCCGGTAAACCGTAGGCATAGAGAGAGAAGAGGACAACAAACGAGGGGCTGTGACAAACTGTTTATATATATATACACACACACACACACACACAGAGGGAGAGAGAGAGAGAGAGAGAGTCATACACAGCACTATATAGTAGTCGGTAGGCATAAACAATAGGTCACGAGCTGCAAAACACACAAGAGGGCAACAACAAATGAGACTGACAACAGTGCTGGGACGCAATCAAGTCCATGCAGCCATGTACCAAATGCAGGGCCGCTTTCCCAAGACCGACGTCTGCCCGGGAGTCTGGGCCTTCGACGCAAATGGTTAGTACAGGTTTGTCCCTAAACCCTAAACCAAAGACTGGTACATGGCTGCAAATCTGCTGCGAATCTCTGCCATCCATGCATGCGTGACTTCAGTAAGCAAAACAACAAGTGATGCAAATCACCACGACTAACTGGGAAGTTTCCCAAAGGACCCAAAATTTACATAGGTTGTCGAAAGAAGCCATAAGAAACAAATAAATCTCAGAAAACATACTTTGCCGAAAGAGGCCATAAAAAACAAATAGAGTTCACGAAACATACCAGTATTGATATGGTTCATAAACATACAAGTGGTATACAGTTACCGCTACTATGAGCACGGAGATATCACAAAGCCTAGATACTTCGTAAAGTTGAGAGAGAGACAAACCAGAAACAAATACAGTTAAAGAAACAAGATAATTGAAGATACGTTCTGGGGTAGCTTATTCCGCCGGAAAGAAAAAGAAAAGACAAAAGTTCAAAAAAACGCTAAAAAAAAATAAAAAGAAATCACTCCCAAAGCTGATAAGCATGCATATCAGAAGGTCCCACTGCACACTGCAAACGCTTCCATGCTCGTGAGCCAGCAAAACCACCCAATGAAACCAAGAACCGGAATGAAGAACCAGAACAATGTGGCAACGAAACAGTAAAAGGAGGAGGTGGAATGTCCGTAAACACAGGGAAAAGTTGGAAAACAGATAAAGATGTTGTACACACCTGGCATGTCAACTCCCGCAGCCGATTTTCTCTTAGTAGTATCCCTTGATCTTCCCCAGACAATTGCTCCGGTGAGCATCTGCAGGCCCCTTGCCCTGAGAAGATTCTCTCGCCGATTATGACCTTTCTTAGCCTGTGCTGCTTCAAGCAAAGCCGGCAGGATAGCGCCTTTTTCTTCTGACAGGAGAGAAAACAAAGCGCCAAGCCTAGCTGCAATGCTAACTGAAGGCCCAACCAGGGGCAGCCAAGAACTGCCAGGTGCACCAGTGCCGTTTGCTCCACCTGCACTGGACCCCTGTCCAGCTGAAGCAGAGCCTCGGCCAACGGATGACTCAGCGCCCCCAGCCTCGGCAACAATCTCCGCCCCTTCCCTCGGCCTCACTGACAACTCATTCGACGCGATCGTGTATGCCAAGGTCTCCCATATTGCCAGCCCAAGATGATCTCTGATGTGCTGTGGCCCGACACCCCATCTCAATTTATCCTGCCTTGCAAGGACACCGAGCCGAGAAGCAAAAACATCCAGTGGGTGACGCAATTTCGGAGGCATCTGTACCCCTGATGCTTTCTGATACTTGGCTCCATGCCGTACAGAGTCTTCTGAATGTAGCAGTAACATCAATGCACGCTGCAACTCCGCTCCCACCCTACTCTGGCCATCACCTCCCTCTGTGCTTGTCCGGCTGGATTCCATCACCAACTCAGTAGACCCAAAAACCTGGTTCGGACTCGGGGATGCTGCCCTCGAATCAACATCACTCCGCACTCCCCCTTCTGCCGAGCTCTGGCGCCCAGCTAGCCCAGCATCAACATGCCGTCCACTCTGCAAGCTGTCATCCACACTGTTTTTGGCCACATGCCCTCTCCATAACGTCCAGAAAATCGGCAAAAAGCTGTTCCCTACCCGTCGGCACATTGGGCAGAGAAACTCACCCTGCGGTGCCATATCAGAGAAAACAATAGGAACAGCAAGCATTCCAAATTGACTTCGGCAATCGAAAAAATAGATACAGAAAACAACGGTATGCCTTCCCAGGGAGATCGTTCAGCAATAGCAGAGACGACCACAAGTGTGTGGGCGATTCACATAACCTCTGGCTCGCAATGAACCTGGACTGAACAGATTCTACACAGACTCGATGGAGAGAACCAGAAGTAGAGGAAAACATAAGCCGCCATGATTCTTTACCAAGAAAGCATTAGACAGGTTTGTTCACAGCTGCCAACACACATCTCCCAGCCATAACAGAGGCGACCATGAGTGAATGGGTGATTCACCTAACCTCTGGCTTGCAGCAAACCTGGAACCGAACAGATTCTGCGCAGACTCGATGGAGAGAACCAGAACTAGAAGAATATATATGCCGCCATGATTCGTTACCAAGAAAGCTTTAGACAGGTTTGTTCACAGTTGCCGACCATCTTTACACAGGCGAGCATTCACGAGCTAGTGAACAGGAGGGACTCTCCATCATGGAATGGTTCATCAACTACTCGGAGTTCTAATTTCAAATCAATGTGCAGATGTCAACAACAATACAATACCTTTGCTACCACAGCTTTCATAGGACAGAGATGCAACTCATTACAGTCAGACTCCAAGATTGGCCCCGTCGGAAAGAGGATACAACACCTTTGCTACCACAGTTCTCTCACAGGACAGAGCTGCAACTCACTACAGCCAGACGCCTAGATTGCCCCTGTTGGAAAGAACCCGATGTACAGATGACGAGATACATAATATGAGGCATTCAAGAGATTTAGGCAACCAGATGCACTATGCAAGCATCTGAGACCCCCTACCCTATCGGCTAGAATCAAACAGCACAGCATGCAGGGCACAGAGCTGCAACTGACTACAGCCAGGACTCCAAGATTGGCCCTGTCGGAAAGGACCCGATGTAGAGATGTTACATGCTGAAAGCCTACACACGGGCCCCTCACGGGACCCGAGGTTGGAATAGGGGCCCCAGGTCGCGTCACCGCAAAATGAAGGCCCTATGGCATTTTTACTTGAGTCTGCATCAGAAAAACGCCAGCTTTAGATTATTTTTATAGTCTTTATTTTATTTATTTGCTGCTGTTTTTCTAACGGTTGTACTGTTGTCCGTTTTGTGGCCAGGTACACGTTTTTAGGACCAGGGCCAGATTCAGGCCCAGAGGCTGAGCTCCTAAAAACGTACCTTTTCTTTTGTTTTCGAACAGATTGCTACCTGTTCGGACCCAGGCCGACGTTGAGGCCGGGTACGTCCGCACAGGACCGGTTCGAAGCCAGGTACCAGGAAACTGAATCYTGGACAGGGCCTGGACGTCCGGTAGGGACCCAGGCAGGCCGTTTTAGGCCAAGGACTGAACCAGTTTCAAAGCCTGCGATCTGGACCGTGGATCGGATTTCGATCTGCACGGCCCAGAACGCAGGCCGTGGGTTTTCAGTCCTGGCCCAGCGCTACATAAGCTGGGCCGTTGCCCAGTTTGAGACGGAAGGTACCAGGAGAAATCCAGCGTTATGCTGGTTCAGGAACTTCGCTGCTGCGCTATTTTGGAGACTCCCTGCTGCGCTATTTCGGGACTGCAGCTGTGCTGCTCATCGGCAATGAGGCACAGCGCTGGAGGAGTCCAGCGCCGAGGAGTGTAGTGGAGTTAGAGAGAGAGAGAGAGAAGAGGACTTACCTGTACCAGCGCCATAGCTGGCTCCGCGGTACCTGCAAGTTCAGCCATCGCCAGGTAAGTGCAGAAAGCGCCTAGCTTCTTCTTCTTCTTCTTCTTCTTCTTCTTCTTCTTCTCCTCTCCTCTTCTCCTCCTCCTCCTCCGAAGTTCTTCTTCTTCTTCTTCTTCTTCTTCTTCTTCTTCTTTATCAGAGTAGAGATAGAGGTAACTGCAGACATTGTTTGGACACGGCCTTCTGCGTTATTGGACACGACATTCAGATCGGACTTACACTCTACATTGGGATTGGGCTGTGTACGACATTCGGAGATCAGACTTGGGTTGGACTTGGTTACCTATGTCTCTCCCCTCTCTATCTCGCATGTCTATGGATCTCTCCCCATGTGTGTGAGCGGAAGGGCAGTCTTTCTGATGTCTTGCCCTTCCGAAGTTTATCTCGTCCATGTTTGTTTGTCCATGTGTCTTTGATTACTAAATATTCCGCTGCGCTGCTCCCCAGCCCATGATGATGATGATGATACGAATGTGTTGTTGTTGTTGATTTCTCGTTGGTTCACTCGTTGCATTGTGCACATTGGCACCTTGTGAAAGTTGCATCTATGCTGCTGGTTGTTGCCACTTTCCTCATTGCTAGATCCTAGGCTCTCAGTGCATTTCACTTTCTGATATGCTACAAGATGACGAGATATATGATATGAGGCATGCAAGACATGTAGACAAGCCGATGCACTCCACAAGTGTCTGAGACCCTCTGCCCTATCGGACAGAATCAAATGGCAGGCGGAGCAACCTCCCATCCACCAGAAGACATTGTAGTTCTCATTCAATTCCTGTCAGTCATTCGATGGTAATAGCTATCTGCTCATGACTCGTAAGAGTAATTCCTGCCCTTCAAGCAATCCAAACATGTAATCCAGAGTTTTTACTGTTATGATCCTGAGTTCCAGTCCTAGGGTCGCAAATTGTCCCAGTCCCAGATGGTCCTAATCCCAGGCTGTCCCGTTAGGATAGGTTCTAGCGTCTGTAGGTTGAAGTGTCGTAGGCCTGTAGGTGTTGGTACCGAAGCGTCACAGGTCGTTAGAAGTCAGCCCGGTACACGACAAGAAAAGTCGAAAACATTCCAGTCTAGTTCCAAGTCCTATTTTGCAGCATGTCCCAGGAAAGTCCGTAAGCAACCGGACTGACAAAATGATTGAAGCAGACAGGCCGCAGCCGACCGGTACCGGTCTCAAAGCAGGCCAAGCCAAGTCCAACACTATATTTAGCTGCTGCGGTGCAGCGGCTAAACACTAGTTCAATTGCAAAATGTGGAAGCGCTGCTGCTGCTTGTGCGTTGAGGCAACTTGGGCACATCGCGCCTGGAGGAGGAAGAAGGCGATTGAGGGATACTCCATAGTTAGGGTAGTGAAGTGAGAGTTCCGGTGCCCATAGCCGCCCAGCTGGGTGCTTATCTGAGTGTGTGTATCCAGGGTGACGATCTAGGGTTAGGGGAGAGAGAGAGAGAGAGAGAGAGAGAGAGAGAGAGAGAGAGAGAGAGAGAGAGAGAGAGAGAGAGAGAGAGAGAGAGAAGGGCAGACCCGCTGGCAACATCAACGATTTCCTTGTATAATAATAATTTGTTGCAGCTTTTCATATGTTGATTGTATCTTGGCTTGGTTTCACATGTGTGGACTCTCGTGTGTGGCGGAGGTTGAGCATTGGTGAGAACTTGGTTCATTGCAACTTTGAGACCATGCAAGATTGTGCAACTCAGGAAGAAGTGGAAATAGACCAACAAAGGACGAACAATTTGCCACAAGCCCACAAGCAACCAAAAACGTTTTTGACGAATGGGTCTAAAAGTTGAACATCATACATATGAAGTGTTAATAAAAGGTAAAGCAAATAGTGAAACAAAGACGAGACCCATTGCATCAACACCTCCTAATTTATTCAATATACTACAAAGAATGGCATAAATAGGTACAAAATACCATTCTGGCTCTATGCGAGCTGGAGTTGACATAGGATTTGATGGGGCAGGCAAGAAGACGAGGAAGAAATACACAAAGATTGAACCAATACCAACAACTCCTCTCGCCAAGCATCATCTACCTCACATCATCTTCTCCTCCGCTTATAAACAAAGAAATGACAATAATAAATGAATGAATGAATGAATGAATGAATGAATGAACAAGAATGAATGACTGAATAATCCCCGTTACTGTCAGCACCCGAGGAGCTCTCCTTTCCGCCTCACTCTCACTAGTCTCCAAGAGCTCTCCTTTCCGCCTCACTCTCACTCGTCTCCAAGAGCTCTCCTTTCAGCATCTCGCTAACTTCTCTCCTCAAGTTTGCATATCTAGCTATGGCGTTTCATCCACGTCCAACAGGGATGTTCAGAGGACAACACAAATGCCACTGCGCTTCTCCCGTCTCATTCGCCCATCCACACAGATGTACGTCCAGGTCCAAACGGTACCCCAACAGGGGCCTTCCAGATGCAGCGCCAGCCAAGGGAGTGGAGATGGTCCACCGTATCCGAAGGTAAGTCTCTTGTCGATTCCTCGTTCCTCTTCCATACCCTCTACTTTTCTGCTCCACCTACATAGACAGCCTGGTTTCAGGAAGTGGAGATGGTCCACCATAGCCGAAAGTAAGTCTCTTGTCGGTTCCACTCGTTCCTCTTCCGCACCCTCTACTCTTTTTGCTCCACCTACATAGACAGCCTGGTTTCAGGAAGCGGAGATGGTCCACCATAGCCAAAGGCAAGTCTCTTTTCGGTCACTCCTTCCTCTTCCGCACGCTCTACCCTATTGCTCCACCTACATACACAGCCTGGTTTCAGGAAGTGGAGATGGTCCACCATAGCCGAAGGTAAGTCTCTTTTTGGTTCACTGCTCTACCCTGTTCCTCCACCTACATACACAGCCTACTTTTAGGTTCTTCACCCTCTACATTCATAGACTTTTCCTCCACCTATGTACACAACCTGGTTTGAGGTTCTTCACCCTCTACCTCCATTGCCGGGCCCTGCTCCCTTCTACTACTACGGCTCCATAGCCATGGATGTTATCTTCCTCACCCTCAGATCCCCCTTCAACACGGAGCTCGGTCTAACTCTCCCACAGGGCTGAGCACCAGCGTGACTGCCACCTCTACTCGGGCACTCTCAGCCTCTACCGCCGCACTAGGTCCTACCGGAAGTTTCTGCCTTTTGGCAAGAATATCACTGCAGCCTGCAATTCACTTGCACGGCTTGAACCTACCCTGATATCTACCTACATTCCTGCACTCCACCACCAGAACCTGTTCGGAAGCTACCGGACTTCTAGAGCCTATCTGACCTTTCCACGCCTGCCCCCAGTTGCTGGAAAATGCTATTGGGTGTCCTGTCCGTCCTCCACCCATCTGGAGTCCAATTCAGTCCTACTCCTGTCCCTACACCTATTTACCGCTCTAGCCATTCCGAGGCAGGGACAACACGGCACAAAAACAGACCTGATTCACCAGCACAGCAAGCAACGCATAGACTCTTGGACGCACAGGCAATACAGCAGATCGAACCAACCGACAACAATACTCAGAAAACTGACGGAATCTCAGCTGGCAACTGCGGGGGTCACTGCATCACTCTGTCCCAGTGCTCTGTGCACCTTCAAAGTCTACCCCCAGCTGTTCTGGTGATCTACGCACCCAATGATCCTCTCAGTAAATTGTCGGGGTGTAACAGTCTGTGATGTTATTGGGGCACGAGGTCTTAGTTCAAATGCCAACTCTAAAAACTTTAACACATAATACCGAAAGGGAAAGAGAGTGAGATAGGAAAATTGACAGCGCTGAAAGGTCAGTGAAAAGAAGTAAAAGCATGTCGTGTGTGTGTGGCAAAAGACAAAGAGAGTCGGATAAGAAAAATTACAGCACTAAAAGATCTGTGAAAAGAAGAATGTGTGTTGAGCTTTCCCCGTGTGCATGCTGTAAACTGTGACCATAAAAGCCCCTTTCCCACCCAGATGAGTCGATCCAAAACCAAAGCAGCTTTACCGCTATTGCAGACAATTACGCAGACTAAAGTGAGCCAATCCAACAACAAAACAGTTTTACCTCTACAGAGATTTTCTTTTGTGCCATGCCACCAGGCATGAAAATCCCTGTTCAAATCCCTTTCCTGATTCTCACGTTGTGCTTCTAACATCATAGGTATGAATTTCAAAATCCTGAAGATCCGCTTTCAGGTGACAACTAAGGTTCGTAAGACATGACCAACAAAAAAGAAAAACCAGTGAAAAGGTAACACATGCTCCAGGGTTTTAGGCCCGTCGGCTCAGCACGGGGAGGCTGCCGGGTGAAACTCGCCACAGAGTTTTCCAAGCGACGGCTCGGCTTATATGCAGAAGGCCTTCGCTTGTAAGTGTGCTTGTGTGTCACACACACACACACACACACACACACACACACACACACACACACACACACACACACACACACACACAGAGAGAGAGAGAGAGAGAGAGAGAGAGAGAGAGAGAGAGATGGCCCTTAGGAGGACCACCAGACATACCGCTTCGGGGTCGACAAGATGTGCGGCTTCGTATGGCATTCTTGTACGATATCTGCAAACAATGAACCGTAGCAACCAAGAACGCGTATGTGAATGTACACAGACAGATATCCATTCTTTCAGCAAGCTGCAATGAGTGTCATGTTTACATCACCATAGCTTGTTGTGAGCAATACTAGCACCTTGAGATATGATTTTGGCAAACAACAGCTGAAGAGTAGCCAAAGTCCCTGTCAGTTCCAACCATGAATGTTTCCAGTTCACACGCATTGAAGACACCCGATCAAGCACAACCACAAACCAGTTCTACATCCCGCCAAGCCCTAATAGAAAGGATAGAGCCAACAACACAAGCTTACCCACCCAAGGGCACGACAGAGCGGGCTGATCACCTTTCTCTCAGACGCTAACATTCGACTACAGTGTCTTACTCCCTTGATATCTAGTCCTTTATGTTGCTCCCTCAATGTTCGACAGGCATGGACCCACTGTCGCGCAGCCAGCTTCTCAAATTTCGATGTGGCACGACCACAACACCAATGACCTCAACAAAGTGGGAGCACAACCACTACATGAATGACCTTGACAAAATGGGCTCCAAACTATGCTCCCGGCGCCGTCCCCATGGATGAACAATTGGGGCTACTAGGCCTGCTGGGAGTCTCAACACCCACACAACACTCCTCCTACCCTGCTTGTTTGCTGAGGGACAACAGCTAGTAGCGCGTACAGTCGATCGCATAAAGGAGATCGTCTCTGGTGCACGCCGACACCATAACACTGAAGCCACCATGGCGAAGCAACATGCACTCTCGCAAGTTGGAGACAAGCCAGGTTTAGAAAAACTCAGATGCCAAAGCTTCACGTGATGTACAGTTCTCCTCCATCAAGCCTCCTAAGGGCCCCCGACAGCTCAACAACATAAAACAACCTTGCAACTGTGTGCGGACGAGATCACGGATGCTAATCGATGAAGCACAGCATCAACTCAAAACCAGTCATAACAAAGGAAGGGAAACAAAGAAGAAAAAGTTTATTTTTCTTCTTCTTTCAAAAAACTCCCAGCCCCTTCTATTCTGGGGGGCATCAGTCCGGTTGCATATCACAGGCAAGCGAAGTTTTGCAGCCTACCCTTGTGGCTCGAGCCGCCTATCCAAGGGGGGGTTGTCCAGCACCGCCCTTAGGGATTGTCCTGCAAGTCGGGAAGCTTACTAGCAGCACCCAGGCACATTGCAGGACAAACCCTAAGGGGTGAAGGCACCGGGGGGGGGGGGGGGGGGTCTAGCAGCCACCCAGGCCGCCTGTTACTTACTCGCACCTTCCCGCCATGTCTTCTTCCTAAGCCCAGCATTTCCTCCGCCTCCTATCCCCACGGCATCTGTATCCCGGAACCCTTCTGTCCATGGTATCCTACCATCAGGTATTTCTTGGCTTTTCCTTGGCTTTAAACCTACCTTCCTATCCCTAACCCTTGCTCCTATCTACCTATGCTTAATCCTTTGTGGTATTAGCACCGTAAGTGGCCGAAAGTGGCCGAAAAAGGCCGAAAAAGGTCCACACTACCTTGGGTCCTGCACTGTACGTGTCTGCACAATTACTATATTCTAACCCCAGCATTTTCTTGACCCCTTTTACCCCCTTACCGTCCTCTATAGATGAAAACTCCCCCTCTTACCTCATTCTATAATACAACTATTCTCCTCCGTCCATCCCTCCTAACTAGAGTACACATCGGTTGAGGTCCGCCCATGTCATCTTGGAGACTGGGTACATGGCGCATTAATAAGCAGCAAGTTTTTTCTTACCTGCTTTTAGTGCTTTATACCCCCTTTAGCCTAATTGAGCCCGAGCAGAGGTCCATTTTGATGTGTGTAACATGACCTCTCACTATAACAAACTTAAGGAAAAAAACACGGTTCCCGACATGTATAGATATTAGATCCTCAGGACGCACGGTCACAAGGTTTTCCAGGGTAGACTTGGTTTCCCGTTGCCACAGGAACACTGAAAAATACTGGCATTATGGTGAAAATGCATGTCCGCGAGTCCTCTTTCACTCGCTGCCGCTTTGAGGCCCTGACCTGTCCCAACTTTCTGAATGCATGGGTATTAGAGTTGACGAGGCGGATAGCCAATCTGGAAGAATCTGTAGTCTAGATAGATTGGAACAGACCACACCATGCAGCATAGCCACACCCGTCATTCATCTATGTGGTATTCTACACTGCGTATGCGCAAAAAGCCTCAGCTTATTTAAACTCTGGGTTGCTATTCAGCATGTAGGATAGGAGGATGGACCGCACATTACCTGTCGAGAAGGGAGGAGAAGTAGCGTTCCAGGCACTCTGAATGAATTCCGTGTCCACAAGTTGAGACATGCAGACCCACCATCGACCGCACCTGGCTACTGCCCGTATCAGACCCATTGCCACTTCCCTCGCTTCCTCCTTCGCTAACAGTCGCAGCACCAAACCTCCCCCAGGTCCTGGCACCAAGCCTGAATCTACCAGCAAACAACCTTCCACTTCCTCCCCACCCTTCCCTCCCTTCTGATTCGGCTGAGTCTGCCCTCCTCTCCTGCTCCCGCTCTCTCTCCCTCTCCTGTGCCACCAATCCTGACACCCTCACATACTCCTCCAAGACAGACTGAATGTCGTGTTCTCCTTGGAGATCATCACTAGCATCCCGCTCTAAAATGTCCCTCCTTTCGCACCAGTGTTCCTCGCCACCACCTTCCCTTGCCCAGGACAAACTTTCCTCCAAACCCACATCACCACTCCCAGATTCACTCATCGCTTCCACTGATACTCCACTGTCGTCTTCTGGACGAGTCTCAGCCGCTTGCCTGGCAGACTCCACAGGTGCCTGCCTTTGCTGCACTTCAACTCCACCTTCGGGGGCTGTAAACCTTATTTGTCCTATTCGAATGTTGGTAAACCCCTCATGCACAGCCCCTCTTCTATTGGCATCTTCAGGGTTGGCTCCATCTCCTACACCATCAGGCAAAACCCTCGGTCCGTCTTGTAGCAACTGCAAGAAATGGATTGCATCGCCCTCCACAAGTCTCAGTCCATTGTCCTCTCCACCAGTAGTATTAATCCTGCCGTCTAAAACCTCATGCAGGAGTTGGAAAAACTCTCCCTGAAATTCGCGAAGACTTGCAACGTCATCAGAACCCGATCTTCCAGACATCGGTGGTGACGCTCCAGGTCCATCTTCGGGAGAACCCCTTGGCACATATCCCTTCTCCCACGACGGCGGAGGCTCCCTTGCAATAGCCAGCAGTCGAGAGCGCTGGAAACACACAAGCGAACCAGCAACATTAACTCGGGCATGCAGCTCAGCAGAACCTCCTCCTCACCAGCTTTTGGTCCTCATGGAGACAAAGTTCAGAAAAGTACCGAGCAAATGATGGGAACAGCACACAGGCCGTTCTCCGAGGGAAAAATTGCGACATCCTATTCCATGCCAGGCCAATGCTCTCCCTTACTTGGGTAGAGTAGACATTATAAACATCAGAAAGATATCTGGACTGGGACGGCTGAAAAAAAAAAAAGTTGCCCAACAGGAACACTTATATCATCCCGGGCTGTGTGGCTTAATGGTACACACATGTACTGTTCGAAAACAGGTCAGGAGGTCGAATCCTGATCAATCAGATCAACATAATAATGTTACGTGCTCAGTGCTCACCTTCTTTCTTTTTCTTGTTTTTAACTACACTATGTTCTTCTCTCAACTTCTTTCTGCCTTTAAAAACGGGCACACTTATATTTCAGGAATTTAGGACGAAATTTACTTTTCTAAGTTTTCTTAGTTTTCTAAAAGTTTGCTGAACTTTTTTCATCATCTCTTAATTTCACAGGAAAAGGCCAGGAAGCATGGAGAGGACAAGGAATTCGAGAATGGATCTCACAAACCAAACGAAAGTCAATGGTGGGCTGAGCCAAGGACACAGACGTCAGACTTCTGAACCAAACTGGCATAGAAATCCTTTAAAGTTTAAACACTGTTCAGTCAGCCTCATTTCTCCATAATCAAAATTGTTACAGATCCAAGGCTGCAAACCCGATAGGACCAGGGAACCCTCCTGGACCGGTCCTACTGGCCAGTCCACCGGGCTGGTTCCCCCCCGGTTGGCCGTAGCGCATCCTTTTTTTTTTTTTTTTTGAAAGCCGAGGGTGTTGTAGAGGCCAAGGACTAGACCCCCAGTGATCGCTGGCAGCGGCAGCCGGTGGTTGTGCTGACAGGATAGGCCACCTTCCCTACCCTTCCCCATGTTAATGCTCCCAGCGCACCCTCTAGTATCCCTACTATCCTACCTCAGTGTGACCAGCTCAGGACCGTCAAATTACCAGTATCGAGGGCAACTTGGACCAGACAGCAGTGGCAAGCCCCCTCTAACACTATCACCCCCACCCCCTGTTTCAAAGGCTTTGGGTAGGAAGTATCGTCCCTATCCTGCCACTAACACCTCCAGGTCCCTTTTCAAAGTTCTTGGGCGGAAGGTTAACGTTTGCAGAAAGCCAGGTACGTTGTTGTCAATGTCTGCTGAAGCCTGTCGTTGATGAAACTTCTCAACCAACACCCTCACCATAAACGGCCCAACCCCCGACCCTCAACCCCTAAAATACACCCCCCCCCATCCCCCCCCAAAAAAAAAACAAACGAAACTTCTCTGTTCAAAGTTTTCTTTGCGGATTCAGGGAGATCTCGGCGAGCGCAGTCCAACAATGTTTTCAAAAAAAAATAAAAAAAAATTGACCCACTTCTGGGTCCAACCGGAATTCCAGTTGGACCACCGGGGGTCCAACCGGCCAGGCCCAACCGGCCGGTTGCCGGCACAGCCATGTACAGATCTCTTTCTCACCAATCAATCTCTCGTCACAGCCGTGTCCCTCACATCTACGACCTGCTTAGTGAACAGCAGTTGTCAGTGTGCTGCGTGTCTTTGTGTCATCTCAAATGCTGGAGCAAATCAGTCCTCAGTGGGGCTGCTGGAGCTTTAGCCTAAGTTCATTGCCACTCGTCAGATTCTTTCCACTTTCCTCAATAGGATTGAGTGGATGAATCTTCCTTTAAACCACCAGTGCACAGCCCCAGCCTTGCTGAAAAGACACCCGTTGCCCATCGGGAAAAGTCAAGGCTGGACCACCGTTGATAGATTACATCAGCGGCCTTTGTCGCATTTCAGCCTCCAAAAGGGGCCCGCGCACGGTGTATGGCGTGGACTGGTGGTTTACCGCCGGTATTTTTGCCAGCCATTTGTTCTGCCAACAGTGCCAAGGCCATAAACACACCACGACCTTCGGGGTTTACCGGACGGAAATGGCTTGCAGTGCCAGGGTGGTTTACCGCCGGCATTTTTGCCAGCCATTTGTTCTGCCAACAGTGCCAAGGCCATAAACACACCATGACCTTGGGGGTTTACCGGGCGGAAATGGCTTGCAGTGCCAGGCAAAAATAAACCAAATGTCCCACGCCAGTTCATTTTTTATCAGCCCTCAGCAGAAATCCATGTCAGGAAAAGGGGCTCTGAGGTACTACTGGTTTAATCATACCCTATCCACATCATCCTACAAGGTAGGCACCCTCAAATTAGTCCCCCGATCGGGCGGACCATGCTACGCAATCAGTCACGAGCCACATCGGGAATGCAATGTCCGACCACGAAATTGTGTTGGCTACTCTATACCGGAAAAATTTTGTGTCAACTTCGTAATCCTCACCAGGTTCAGCATCTTCTACCCTACCAAAAAGCCTCAGCGAGGTCGGTCACTTCAGGAGGGTTTCATCATTGCTTTTCCACGCAGAAGGCGCTAACACGACGCAGCTTTCTTCATTCCAATCGGAAATACAGAGATCGGAGATTAGCACATTGAAGCCTGGTCACCAGAAAACTGGCTCCTTTCGGCTGGCCAGAGAGAGTCGTGACCCAACGCCCAGAGAATATGTTGGCGAGGGCGCAGCACTTCGTGTGTCCTCTTACACACCGCGCACCATAACCAAATAGTTGCTTTGCCAGAGTCTTAAGCTGCTCACTGTGCATACAGCTCATACTGGCCCTTCCCCCTTCATAAGCAAAATCCAATGCTCTGATTTTTACGTCTTGTTTGCAGCCAGACATGGACCTAGCGGCCATTAACAATCACTTCCCTCCCCCAAGGCCAGTGCCTCCGTCCAGAGGAATGCTTAAGACTGTTGGACACTTGTTGTTGGAAGCCGACTTGAATTGTGTTAACCAGATGCGCCTGCCTCCTGTTGAACCACATGGAAGACTGAGATTCATGTAGCAGTGCCGGTGAGGTCCCACCACATTCCCGTAGATCAGTGATATGCCATCGCTAGCTGCCTGCTGGTGATCAGGACTGGGTGGGAGACTAAACACTGCTTCAGAAGGTTGGTATCGTCGTTGTGTAATGACCCGTCATCACACGGACTGTAACAGACAGCTGATTTCTGAGTTTGCTCGTGGAATGCATGCCGTACTAAGTCCCCTGCCTGTTGAGTGGGTTGTGTTGGGTCTGAGTGCGTGCCTGTATGTGGTTGGCGTGCCTGGGTGATGAATGCGTGCCTGACTGAGTGCTTGAGTGTGTGTGTGACCCCGTCGGGGCCATGGATGCTGGGCAGGCCCGGTAGGGCCRGTACTTACCTGTGGCGTGGCTTGTGAGGGGTGCAGCCAGGGAACACTCAAGTGGCGAAGCTAGCAGCCCCGCGACCCTTGGTGGGTAGCGGGAAAACACTCAAGTAGGCCGGTAAGTCCAATGTCGGGGTACTTGAAGGCCGAAAGGCCGAATCTTGGGGTACTTGAAAGTCCGRGCAGAAAAGACAAAATTGGCATTTTTAGCAGTCCGGTAGGTCCTAGGGGTAGTAGTAGGAGTCTAGGGCCTGTRCGGGATGTTTCAGGGTCTGCAATGATGTTTCCCTCCGAAAGCGGAGGCACACCGGTTGCTTGGGAGGCCGAGCGGCCTGGAAGTCACCGCCCAAGAGGCAACCAGGCCGCTATATCAGTGGGCGGAGCAAGGAGCTCCGCCTCATTTGTCGGTCCAGCGGTTGGAGGTCGGCATTTGGAGCGGCGCCCAGAGCAGCGCTAGGCAAGCTGCGCAAGAGAGAGGCAGCGGAGCAGCGCTGGTGGGAGGAAGAAGCAGGACAGCGGAGGAGGAAGAAGAAGAAGAAGGAGGAAGAAGAAGAAGAAGGAGGAAGAAGAAGAAGAAGGAGGAAGAAGAAGAAGGAGGAGGGAGAAGGAGCCGGGGTACCTACCTGGCTATGGTGGCAGCCATCTTCATCTTGGTCAAGCGCAGCAGCAAGAAGACCCCTCTGAGGGAGGGGAGCCATACCGAGTAACTTCAAGGTGGTTCGGAGCATGGTGGTGTGTGCGGGACAGCCATAGCTGTTCTGTGTTGTCCTCTGGACATCACGGTGGCCTGCAGTAGTCCGCCATAGCCTCGGCCTCCAAGGAAGAAGAAGGGAGAGGCGGCCATGGCTCTGGAGGACCTCAATAGTAGTCAGCTGTAGAAGAGGACCTTGGACTTTGATTCTGGATCAGCTGGTCAGCAKKGTTRYAATAATKCTKGTTTGAATATAAGAGAGGGGGACATATGGAGTTGAGAAGTTGAGCGAAGGAGAAGTGCTTTGACATTGGTTCTTTGCTGGTGTACTTCATCTTCTTCCTTCTTACTACTACTTCTTCTTCTTCTYATCCTCTCAATCCTCTCAAGTTCATTCATTTCTTTTGCAATTGGGCAGCATTGTGCTTTATTGGTGAATTTGTACTTCGCAATTGGTCCGGGTCATAACANCTCAATCCTCTCAAGTTCATTCATTTCTTTTGCAATTGGGCAGCATTGTGCTTTATTGGTGAATTTGTACTTCGCAATTGGTCCGGGTCATAACAGTTGTCAGATCCGTTGTTAATATTGTCGTGCTGGCCTCCTAATCCGCTTGGAGAGCTAAATTGTGTTTGGTAGAGGTGGCATCAAAGGTGGGTGCAATTGACGATATGAGAGGGAAGAAGAGAGCCGAATAGTGTATGAATCTCTGTGGTCTTTTTTGTCTCACTGTTCTGTCTAGTGAATTCAATGCTATCGCATACTGAGCTAGCATTCATCCTGAGTTTTGACATTTGTGCATGAGTCAGCATGACAATGATGTTAGCTCCAGAATCATGTTGATTACAGGTAAATGGCTTCGTTCTCAAAACAATGTTTGCAGCATAAGCACCGCTCCATGCCTGAAGAATAAACACGAAGAGGACACTGAAACCGCTCTCCCGATCATTTCCTCGTTTTTTCAGC